GAACATATTTTCATGTCTTCGTTTGGTTTGACAATCTGTACCAATGGTTCCTTCCGAAGATCAAATTTTATGAACCAGTAAAATTGTTTGAATAAACAAAAGTTACGTGGAGGGCTAAAACTACATGTCAATTTTTGGAGTTGCATGAGAATTCTATTTAATTACAATTATTAATTGCAATATAAATCTCAATATTTATTGGACTCGTTACAATGATTGTGATTATCATTTTCAAGTCTATTTTTTATGTTTATGTAGTATTACTTTTCTATTTTTGTTGTTTTTTTTCCAACAGTCTGGGTTGTTCAAAACAAACTTATACGTATTTCGACTAATTCTCTTTTTGGTCCGATCAAAGTTAAGGATTTTTTTGCCATGACTAATGTGCTCACCCTAAGGAATTTTTCTGCCACTGCCAGTATTGGTGAGTTAATATTCAATGGTACTCATTTTTTGTTAAGGTTTTACCTTTTTAAAATCAAGAGTTCAAGTCTCTCCCCTTCCTTACAAAAAATAAAAAGTTAATATATTCTTAATTGGCTTCTAAATGTTGGGCCTCAAGGAGTACCACAACTTTGTGAGCATGTAGTAGCCTGCCAAAAGATTTTGTGAGGTGAGAAGGTGTTATAGCTTCAAGTGTTGCATTCCACATTGACTTGGGAGGGAAAGTGACTGGCTATATATGTGGTGTGCTCATCCTTGATTGTCAAAGGAACAAAACCTTGAGGATATATGGGCCCCCGAAGAGGTTCATATCTTGACAATTGAGACAGATCGTTACAAAACGGAGCAAGCACCTACACAAATTTGGTTACCATACACACGCACCGCCTACCCAGCCTCCTCTTCTCGCCACGACCCACTCAAGCTCAGCCCTTGGGTCAATATGATCATATCTTTTTATTGAAATTTTATTTGGTATGGTACAGATTGTAGGTCAAACCAAACAAATCTATATCACACTTATTCTGTCAACTGAATATCCGTTATTTTTTAATTTGATGTCATTTTAATTGTGTTTGTTCACACTCTATAAATGGCTTTTCCTTTTATTACTATTCGATTAACAGTGTCTTTTTAGTCTAAACATACACAATGAACAGTAGTTTCTCTTCAATCTAAACAGACCCAAAAGAGTCTATAAAAGGACTCCCTTGAAATCATATTCAGAAATCGAAAATTCATTCATTTTACATTTGTTTTTCTTGTCTCTTTACATTATTATTTTGTTCGGTTCAAGTATAAACACTGNGAGACTTTCAGAAGACGAACCGACTACCGGAGATTATTGTTTTTCTTTGATTCTCTACTCCCCCTCTCATAGCTTGTATCTCCATTCTCCATACCTTTGAATCAATAAAATACCCGGCGACTGAAGCCATTGAAGAGTGGACGTAGGTCGAATTGACCGAACCACTATAAATTGTGTCTTCTTTAATTTT